CCCGCGCCCAGCCACAGCCCGCATTGGAGCCGCTGCCCGCGCCCAGCCGAGCGAGCCCAGGCAGCGCAGCCTTGGGAGGGGGCTGCCCCGGACCCCTCCCCCGGCCCGGGCCCCTGGAGCCCGGCCTTCGGGGCAGGGAGGCGGAGTCCCCGGTGCAAGGTCCGGGGACCAGCAGCCGAGGACGCCGGGGTCCCGGAGCCAACAGGTGCGGGGCTTGGGGGACTCCCCCCCCAGGCCCGGGGTGGAGGTTCCAAAGGACCCTCGGCGGGAGCCAAGGGTCTCGGGCATAACCTGGGTGCTGGAAGGCAGGGTCCCCAGGAGGCTCTGCCCTCCTCCCGGCAGGCTTCTGCAGAACCCCTAGCGCCCTCGTTCCTCCACCTTTTCCCCGCAGCCCCCCCCCCACAGCCCCCGAGGTGCAGGGAGGTCCCGCTGAGGGATTGGGTCCGTCGGCACTTGGAGGAGGTATGAAGGAGCCCCCTCGCCCGCCCCCAGTGGTCTCCAGGGACCGGCAACCCTCCTACACACGTCCGGGGTCGTCTGTGCTCAGCCGCGGGAAGGAGGGGTCTGAGCGAGCGAGGCCCAATTTATGAATGGAGAAAGCGGCCTGCTCGCCGGCCCAGCGACCCCTGGCGGCCGTTGGGGCACATCGCGGCCGCGGGGATTCAAGTGGGGACGGGGGTCTGAGGGGCCTGGCTGCTGAGCCTGGGGCTCTCCTCTCTTGCAGGGAGGTCGTCAGTTCCTTTCTGCACCCCTGCCTCCACTGTGTGTCCTACCGGGGAGGGTCCAGGTCTGGCGGGCGGGGCCTGGGTCTCTAACGCCTCCCTTGACCATTTTTTCAACCAAAAATTCAGGCCCGTGAACTGACTCAGGAAAGAACATTTGCAATCGGGATGGCTTCCCCTTGCAAATCTATGGTGTTTCGGGGATTCAGACAGACCTGGCATAGTACCATTGTGACCTTAAGCAAGGGGCTCAACCTCTCTGAGCTTCTGCAAAACAGGGTTCTCTAATGGTAACCGGAGTCGGCCCTGAAGCCGGGTCCCCTTGCCAGGGTCTGGGTAAAGCACTTGGCTCGCATTAGAGCTCATTACGCCTCACCGCGGCCCTGTGAGGTAGGTACAGTTATTACTCCTTTGGAGAGATGGGGAAACCGAGGCTGAAAGGGGAGACGTAAGGTATCCAAGAGCAACTTGCGTGGAATTGAGATGCAAGCCACATCTGTCTTTCTCCATTGACTTTGGGTTCACCGTACCCCACAGCACTATGGGAATTGAGGGGGCTTATGTGCAAGTTGCCTGACACACTCCTAATGTTCTGTCTTCCTTCTTCCCCTCCTTCCTTCAGGAGGTTTGGGGCTGGGACCCCAGAGACCTGTGTGCAAGGAAGTGGGCTGAGGCCTGGCCCGGGCTCCCCTTCCCCCGCTGGGCCCAGGATGCCCCGCGGCATCAGCAGCTCCTGAGCTCATGGAGCCCTCGGCCACCCCAGGGGCCCAGACTGGGACCCCCACTGGCGGCGGGGAACTGTCACTGTCACACGTGCCTCCCGACTACGAAGACGAGTTCCTGAGCTATCTGTGGCGTGATTATCTATACCCGAAGCAGTATGAGTGGGTCCTCATCGCTGCCTACGTGGCTGTGTTCCTGGTGGCCCTGGTGGGCAACACGCTGGGTAGGTGTTTAGATCCCTGTGGTGCTGCGGACTTGCCCTGGGGACTGGAAGGTGTCCTGGGCCTGGCTTCTCTTCCCCGCCTCCCCTACCTCCCTTTGGCTGGGTAGTGTGGGGGATGGGGGCCGTGGGGGAAAAGACTCACTTTCGAGGACGGGCATGGCTCTGTCCCTGGCTTCACCTCCTTCTCCTCTTCCCACCTCCCCCCCTGCTCTGCAGTCTGCCTGGCCGTGTGGAGGAACCACCACATGAGGACGGTCACCAACTACTTCATCGTCAACCTGTCCCTGGCTGACGTGCTGGTGACAACCATCTGCCTTCCAGCCAGCCTGCTGGTGGACATCACCGAGTCCTGGCTCTTTGGTCATGCCCTCTGCAAGGTCATCCCCTATCTCCAGGTGAGCTCCACCCAGGTGCCGTCCATCACCCCTCTGTCACCCCAAGGACAAAAAACCATGGCCTTGCATAGACCTCAGTGACCCTCAGACTTACCTTTCAGACAGGACGCGGTGGCTCAGTTCCTCTGCCGTGTCATCCTCTACTGTTAGCAAGGCCAGGCTGTGAGGCCTGACACTTGAGGACACAGACCCAGCCCCACACACTCATACAGAGATCCCCTCGTGGTCACACCCGCAGACCCACACGCACACAGCCCTTGGACACGCGGACAGTCACCTCCAGGTACCTGGGCGCACCGCAGAGGAGAGAAGCACAAACCCATGGTGACAGACACAAATGCATGCTGAGCCTGCTCCCTGGTTCCAAGGGGGCAGGTGTGAGGAGACCAACCCAGGCCAGGGCCTTCCCTCCCCCAACAGTGGGAATCAGGATGTCCAGATGGGGCTGGGGGTGGGGGGTGGAAAGAGAGCTGGCCAGAGGCCAGAATGGCCCCTCAGCTGCATCCCTCGTCCCTCTCCCTGGACCCCAGAGGGCAGGGTTCACTCCCAAAGGCAGCATCCACATCCACCTCTGTTCCTAGGCTCATGTCTGCCTCCCTGCAGGAGGCTCTTTCCTCACAGCCCAGGGAAGGGATGGCATCCCTGGGCAGAAAGATTGCCTCTTGGATTTCCATTGTTTTAAGATTTTCCACTCAACAGATTAACCCTGGGAACGCTGGGAATAAAGACAGGGTGGGGAGGAAATGCACCTTAGGCAAATTGTTTAACGTTTCTGTGCCTCAGTGTCCTCATCTGTAACATGGGGTAAGAGTATGCACCATGGAGTTGTTGTGAGGATAATGAGAACAGTGCCTGGCACGTAGTAGGTCCCGTAAGTGTAAGTTATTCCTCATAGTAGGGAAGCCCCCACTCCGTACCAGGTCTCGACCTGGACATTTCCCACCTGTGATTTCACTGATTCTCACAAGAATCCCACCAGGTGGAGAACATATTCCCATTCCGCAGACGAGGCTCAGAGAAGGTGAGTGATATGCCCGAAGCTACACAGCCCATAAGTAGTGCGGTCAGGATTCTCACCGCACCTGGCCGCCTGGCGTTTCAGGACTGAGCCCCTTGGCTCACCCCGTGTCTCGGGGGGGCCCACGAGGCCTGACGCTGTGTCCCCACGGGCCAGGCCGTGTCTGTGTCGGTGGTGGTGCTGACTCTCAGCTTCATCGCCCTGGACCGCTGGTATGCCATCTGCCGCCCGCTGTCGTTCAAGAGCACCGCCCGGCGCGCCCGGGGCTCCGTCCTGGGGATCTGGGCGGTGTCGCTGGCCGTCACGGTGCCCCAGGCTGCAGTCATGGAATGCAGTAGCGTGCTGCCTGAGCTAGCCAACCGCACCCGGCTCTTCTCCGTCTGTGATGAACACTGGCCAGGTAATGGTGGGGGCCTGGGCACCTCTGGGACACGTACCCCTAGCACACGTGTCTGCCAGTGCACTTCTGGGGTGGGCGCTCCCGGGGTGGCCATCTCCCAAAAGGACACCCTTGGAGCAGGCTTCTGTGGGGTACGCTCCCAGGGTGGGTAACCCCTCGCTGGATGCCACAGAACAGGCATCTAGCCAGGGTACCTCCAGGGTGGGTGCCTCCTCTAGTCTAGACATCTGCTGGGGCTCCCTCCAGGATGGACACCCCTGGGCTGGGCAACTCCAGGCTCCCTCTGCCATGGGGTCTGTGTGAGGCCCAGCTGCTTGCTTTGGCTCGACGGCTCTAGATGGGGCAGGGTGGCTTTGCTAAGCAGAACAGGCTGGAGGCTCCCAGAAGGGGAGGATCTCTGGCCCTTGTATCTCTTGACCCCTACAGATGACCTCTATCCCAAGATCTACCACAGCTGCTTCTTCATTATCACCTACCTGGCCCCACTGGGCCTCATGGCCATGGCCTATTTCCAGATCTTCCACAAGCTCTGGGGCCGCCAGGTGAGGCCCACTCTGGTGTCACTGTCTGGGCTGGGAGGGGGAAGGGGGACTGGTCTCAGGAGACAGACGGAACCTGCCATCCTGGCTGCCACCGGAGAGAGGCAAGGCCCAGGGACATGTTGAAGTCAAGGCCAAAGCCCTGGTGCCTACCCTGGAACCGAATAGTAACTAATACCGGTTTCAGTATCTAAAATCTAATCATCGTTCTGACACCAGTAGCTGCCATTTATTGTACCATGTACTTCCAGCTAGTCTTGCCTCCTCCCAACCATCATATATTATCCCCGACTTAATGTTTGAGAAAACCGAGACCCAGAGAGGCAAAGCAACTTCTCCCGAGTCCCTCAGCCAGCCAGGGGAAGAGCTGTGACATTCCAGTGCTCAGGTCAGCACCACAATAACAGCACCTCTGTGTTTTTGCCAAATTTGGCACTTTGCTCGCAATGTCTTCACAACAATCTAAATGAAGAAGCAGTAGTACTCCCTTTGCAAATGCTGAGGAAGGGCAGCCAACTGGCCACAGCCAACGAGTGGCAGAGCCTTTCTGGTTCTGGGGCTGCCCGCTGGTCTCTGTTACAGACCCACCGACAGCAGGTTCGGGGGGTGGGGGGTAATTGGGGGGGAGGGGAATGCTCAGAGGTTCTGGGCACTAGGGGGACTAAGTTCTGGGTCCCGTGCCTGGGCAAGGAGAGGATGCAGACCAGAACGTGGCCAGCCTGCAGTCCACCAACACCTGTCATCTGCCCCTGACAGCCCCCCAGTCAAGATGGCAAGAGTCACTATCCTCCTCTAATAGACGAGAAGACCAGGGCTCAGAGAAGGAAAGTGAGTTGAACAAGCTCACATAGCTCATGAGTGGCTGAGCTGGCCCTACACCCTAATTTTCCTCAACTCTAGCCCCATACCCCTCTTGGGGGGTGATTCAGGTGTCCAGTGGTGTGACAGGCTTCAAGGATATCTATGGCTTCTCCAGAAGCCTGGAACCATCCTAGGTTTCTAGGCAGTGACCTAGGCAGGGACTGTGCTCTGAGGCCCAGGCCATTCCATGCCACTCACCTGCTCACATGCTCGCTCCTTGCCCAGGCCTCCCCCGTGTCAGGCACAGGCCGGGGTGGGGGGCGGGGGCACAGCTCACCCTGCACCCCTGCCCCCACAACAGGAAGCGATGGCCTGAGGAGGACGGATGGGTAGCTTGAGAGGATGTTCAAGAGTCTCCTGTCTCTGTAAGGTTCGGTTCCTTTATCTGTAACTAAGGGCCAGGAACACCTTCCCCGAAGGCGTGCCACGGGGAGGTCACAATGAGCTCACGGAAGATGAAAGTACACTGTTCACCCTCCAGTCCAGAGTGTCGGTCTTCATCATGAATATTAGGTTCCTTCCTATGGCAAGGGTTCCTTCCCTTGGCCCACCTCCACCCCGCCCCGGGGTCCACCCGGAGCAGGACCCAGCAAAGGAGAATGGCCCTCCCGAGGAGCTCCACCCACCACTGCTCTCTCTGTGTGTGCCGGACAGATCCCTGGCACCACGTCGGCCCTGGTGAGGAACTGGAAGCGCCCCTCAGACCAGTCGGACGACCAGGGGCTGGGCCTGAGCACAGAGCCCCCGCCCCGGGCCCGGGCCTTCCTGGCTGAGGTGAAGCAGATGCGCGCGCGGAGGAAGACGGCCAAGATGCTGATGGTGGTGCTGCTGGTCTTTGCCCTCTGCTACCTGCCCATCAGTGTCCTCAACATCCTCAAGAGGTGAGAGCATGAGGGGAGAGGCGATAGCCTCTCTCTGTTTTGGGGAAAGACGGGCTCTAGGACTCACCCACTGTGTGGCCTTGGGGGCAGGTCACTTCTCTTCTCTGAGCCTCCCAGCTTCAGTTTCTCGCCTGTAAACTATGAAGAATGCCAGTTGTAGCCTGCGGGGCTATTATGACAATTTCTCCATCTATTCACTCAACCATCAGCTCGTGGGGGCTGGGAGCACAGTGACCACATGCACAGGACGAAGTCTCCACCTTCATTGAGGCTACATCTAGTGGGACAGAGAAATAAGTCTCCACCATACTGGCAGGCAGGGATACCACTATGAAGACACATAAAATAGGGAAAGAGCACAGAGAGTGACGGTGACAGGAGTTAGTGGGGTTTTGTGTGTTTATTTTTTAATCTTTTTTTTTTAGATACAGGGTTAAAAAAAAAAATGCTCATCCAAGGAAATGGCATTGGGCAGGGACTTGAAAGAAGGGAGGGACCCAGGGAGCAGGCCCGCAGGTGTCTGGAGGAATAGCACCAGAAGCGGAGGGAACAAGGGGCTCAGCAAGTGAGGGACCACGGGGCGCCGGGACAGAGCAGCGGGCTGTTTGTCATGAGACAATCTCGGGGTGAGTTTGTGCTTGGCCACTTCCTGGATCACTTCCTGTGATCTCGGGCATGTCACGTCACTTCTCTGCACCTCCCTAGCTGAACAATGGATGATGTCTTGCTTGACACATCATGTTGCTGTGAGGATGGATGAGGAAGTGGATGGGGGCTTCCAGGGGATCCGATAGCCAGTGACTGAGCAGATGAACCCTGGTTCCTGTCCGGACACCCACCCTGGTCAGACTGTCTGTGCTCAAGACCTCAGACCTAAAGGCCCAGGAAAGGGCCACCTGGTGGGACAGAAGGGGCAGCGGGAACTCATGCACTTGATAGCCACTCATGAGCTGTGTGACCTTGGTCAACTCACTTTGTCTTTCTGAGCCTTGGCTTTCCTGTCTTTTAGATAAGGGTAGTGACTCCCGCCCAACACAAACAGGAACACACACACACACATCTACCCCGTTTCTGAGTGTCCTCCCCCTGGTCCTAGGGTGTTCGGGATGTTCCGCCAAGCCAGCGACCGAGAAGCCATCTATGCCTGCTTCACCTTCTCCCACTGGCTGGTGTACGCCAACAGCGCTGCCAACCCCATCATCTACAACTTCCTCAGTGGTGAGTGGGCTGGGGAGGCAGGGCCACTGAGGGGGGTGGCAGTCCCGCCCCCAAGCCAGGCTGAATAAAGGGAGGGCAGAGAGGACATCCCTGCTCCTGCCTGGGGATCTTGAGCTGGCTCTGCGAACTCCCATTCGGGGAAGACTCGGCCCTGCCCAGGAGCCCTGGTCTGAGTGGGAGACAGGCCACCCTCCCCAGAGTCGCCAAAACCAGCTGACCAGCACCCAGGATCCAGTTGTGCAGATCATGCAGACCAGTGAGTGGGTGGGAAAGGAAGGGGCTAGGCCAGCTCCCCTCCCCCTCCCCCTGGTGCCTGCCCAGCGGGACCTCCAGTCAGCCCCAGCTGGCCACCACGGGCTCCAGGGGAGCCTGGCCTCTGGGAAGAGGGCCCAGGGCTGAGAGGATGACTGCATAGCCAAGTCATCCAGATAAGGGAGGGTCACCAGCGGAGGCAGCCCAGGGCCGGGGAAGAGTTTCCCCATGCCCAGCTAGACATGGACTGGCAGAGTGGCCAGAATGTGGGGGGCTGTCCCTGGATCCACCTGCCTCCAATACCAGCCTTCTTGCTCCCCTCTCTGGAAGTCCAGGCATCCCCAGGCCCCTAGCCCCAACCCAGGCCTCTCCCCTTCGCTGTCCCACTGTCTGCACCTCCTCCCCCCAACCTCCCAGGCTCGCGGTGATAATACCTCCACCCTTGGACCCACCTGGGCTCAGCAGAAGTGTGGCTCACTAGGCCTCTGGCTCCAGAACTAGGCCTAACAAACTGGTCCAGATTCCTGTTCAAGCCTGGGAATGATAATCTTTGGGAAAAGGCTGAAGAAGGAGGGGCCGGGGGTCCATATCACAACCCTCATTGAGACTAAAGAATTACTCTCCGAAGGCTAGCCAGCAGTCTCCAGCTCAGGGCGGAGAACAGAAGAGCTAAGGGCTGCAGCAGAGGCGGGTATCCCTGTCTTGTCTCCATTTACTGAACACCTACTGTGTTCCTGGCCCTCCGCTGGGGCCCCGGAGAGGCTTGCTGGCGAATGAAGCGCGGTCAAGGCGTTTTCTGCTCCAGACACAATCGGTTTCCTTGGTGTCCTTTGGCTGATGGAGCTGGCTGTGGTAGTCCCTTCTTCCCTACTCTGTCTCCCCTTCAAGAGAAGGGCTCCGGAATGAGAACCGGGCCTGACTTCTGGCTGGGTGACTTTGGGCAAGTTGCTGCACCTCTGTGCGTCTCACCTGCGCAGTGAGGATAAAGGACATCAGCTTCTCAGGGCGCTGGGACCAGCAGGGGAGGGGGATGTGGGGGAGGGCAAGCAGAGGTGTCCAGCACAGTGCCTCCTGCAGGCTGCTGCTGTCCTTCCCGTCACTGTGGGGCACAGGTGGGGAAAGCCTAGCCATAGCTGGTGAGTCCGAGCCCCTCCACCTACCCGCCAAGGAGGGCAGAGGTGGCCCCAGGCCCCTGAGCCAGACACGATGTTTCGAGCCGGGCTCAGAGCCAGAGAGCAGTCAAGGAATCAGATGAAAATTGCATCTCTCCTTGGGAACTGCTCCGGGGCCTCTGTCCTCACTCTCCCTGGCAATGCCGAGGTCGCCTTGGGGCTTTCTCCTTCCCAGCTCTACTCTGCCCTCCCACCCCCTCACAGGCAGCTGGGCTGGAGCTGCGTGGGTGTCCCTGGGCCCAAGGCCCTTCCTGCTTCATCCATCTTCTTTTTTTTTTTTTTTTTTAAAGATTTTATTTATTTATTTGA